AAAATTACATTATTACCCTCACCTCCCAATCCCTCTTCTTCCCCTTCTTTCTTTCTCTTTCTTTCTTTCAAACCCAAACGCAGACTTGGAAGGCTACTACCGGACCCGAAGATGACGATTTTCTTCCTTGACTTGCACTGCAGGATCAGATTGCTTCAAAGGTTTCCCTTTTCCAGCTCCAGGTAAAACTTAGAGTATGCTAGATGGGAGATTAGTTTCACTCAACTATGAAAGTAAGTTGCTTGGATTGCCCAGTTAGTGACGACTCATCAGCAGTAGATGATTTGCTGGCCACGACCAGACCCAAATTGAGGCTGCATGACAGGGGAAACAAAGGAAGAAAAATATGGAAGAACTAGGTCAGACGGCCTACTACGGCCGCGACTAGGTCTAACTTGGGTTGGCTGCGGCGAGCATTGCCCTTACTCATTCGATTCGGATTGGGCAAAATCAAACTGGGAAGGAGCTGGGGGAAAGTTGTCACCTTAGCCGCGTCCACAGCCGGAAGTGGAGAATGGGGATGATGATTGGAGTAGAAAAGGGCTTTGGGTCAGTAATCCATTGTAGTGATGGCTGGAAATTTTCATAGGATCTTCCTATGAAACCCAGATACTCAAATCGAAGCTGAAACTTGAAGCTAGGGTTTTGGATTTTGCAGAGAGAAAGGAACAAACGTCTACGCTGACGGGTTTTTCTGATATCTTTCAGAGCACAACAACGCCGCTTAACATAAACTAAATAAATAAAAGTGATAATTAAAAAAAAATCCTCAAAAACAATCTTCTCAGGTCGTGTTCTTCAAAACCCACCTGAAAGGCTGAAATTATCCCTTCGAAATCGTCTCTAGTTCTGAAGGGAGAGTTTTAAAGAGAGAAAGGGACCAACTTTTAGCTTCTCTCTTGAACTGTCTCTCTGTCCTTCTCCTTGGACCAGTTTAGGGTTCTCAGTTTCAGTTCCAAGATGGTCAATTCTAGTTTTCATTTTCCTTTTTTGAATCACTAAGGTTCAATCTGTTGCTTTTTTTCTAGTTTGTTTGATTGAGATTGTGCTAGCTCTGTGAATGTTAGCTAAATCCTTGAGCGAGGCTCGGTTCGGTTCGGGCAAATTTATCCAATTCCAGCAAGGCTGGGTTCGGGCGACCAACAAGGTTGGGTTTCGACAAACCCAGCAGTTGGATTCGACGGAACCCAACAGATCTAGGTCTTGTCGAACCCAACTACCCAGCTCATCGGAACCCAGCCGATCTGGGTTCAAAAGAAAGAAAGAGAAAGAAAAAAGGGGAAGAAGAGGGATTTGGAGGGGAGGGTAATAATGTAATTTTATTTTTTAATTAAAATATAAATATTTATTTATGTGACATTTTTATTTATCTATATAACATAATTATAATATATTAATTGCCATGTCATCAAAAAAATTAAAAGAAAATGCCAAATGGAATTACTTAACTGCCACAACATGCTTAACTGACGGAGGAACCAAAATTATGTAATTTTTAGAGTTAAAAGATCAAAAAAGTGAAAAAAATAATTTGAGAACCAAAAAAATGCAAACCTATCAAGTTGAGGGATCAAATTTAGCATTTAATCTTTCTTTTTTTCTTTTACTGCGCAGGGAGGGTGACGTGGAGGGTATCATTAAGTTCACGTAAGCATTTTTTACACGTTGGCATATCCACATCAGCTGTTCTAGTTAAGTTAACATGACACGTGAGCAAAAATTAATGGAAGGACCAAAAAAAGGCCGGATTTGTGAACAATAAGGACCAAAAAGGGGATTTTTTCGGTACAAGGATCAAAAAAGGGCTTTTTCCTATAGTAGAGGGACCAAAAAGGGTATTTAACCTTTTTTTTTCTTGTTAATGGTGACATAGGATTACACGTGGCAAAATTGATGAGTTGGCAATCAGATTTATTTTCCATGTAATCAATATGTCCTAAAATAATTAAAAGAAAAAAATCATTGTTTCCCTTTATCTTTTCATTTCCCATTTCTATCCTCATCTTCTTCCTAAGCCCAAATCCCCGATCCTCTTTACCTTTGCCTGAACTTAATCCCCCTCTAATCCCATTGATTTCTTCTTCTTCGCCAAACCTTCCTCCATCAAAGCCCTCAAATCTTCACTAATTTGCCCCCATTTTATTCCCCCTTCTATCTTATCCTCTCCTTTCCCTCCGTTATCATCTCTCTTTTTTTTTTTTAAACCTTTGCTGGGTTTGTCGTGAACCCAGGTGTGACTTGGGTTCATCGCACCCAAGTTCATCTTGGGTTCGCGATGAACCCAAAGCACGTCTGGGTGGTTCGTCCTGGGTTCTTCGCAAACCCAGGATGAACCCAGCTCGCAAGACTAGGTTGTCAAAAAACCCAGCTTGCGCTTGGGTTCATCACAAACCCAGGCGCAAGCTGGGTTCTCAATCTCTGCCAAAAAAAAAAAAAAAAAGCATGTTCTTTCCAAACAAACAACTCCAAATCGAATTCGATGAGTTGCAACGGGTGTAGCGTTTTGCGAGAGGGATGCAGTGAGTCTTGTATTCTGCGTCCCTGTCTTCAGTGGATCCATAGCGCCGAGGCCCAAGGCCACACCACCGTTTTCGTCGCCAAGTTTTTTGGCCACTCTAGCCTCATCTCTTTCCTTTCCGTCGTTCCGGAATCTTAGCTTCCTGGTGTGTCCTTTTATTATTATTATTATTTTCTCAAATTTCTCAGATTGGATTTGGATTTTTCAATTTTGTGCTCAATTGCTTGTGTCGTGTGTCGTGTTTGTGTTTCAAAGTTGTTTCAATCTTTGCTGCTTGAAGCGTGCGGAAGGATGGTGAATCTGGTGAACGACGCAGTAGGGTTGCTGTGGATGGGGAACTGGCATGTGTGCCAGGTGGCGGTGGAGATTGTTCTCCTTGGTGGGACCCTTCGACCGTTGTCGAAGTTGATGGTTTCTCCACCAGCATCTGATGAAACTTCGGAAGCAACTTGGACGAATATTCGGAAGCTCCAAGAAACAATGAATTTGAACTCGAACTTCAGATTTACAAATTCGAGATCCAAGGTCTCGCCAAAGCGAAAGATGGAGGAGGAATTTAAGAAACCACCTCCATCTGATCTAGATCGTTGCCTAAACCCTACCTTCACAGCCAAGGAAGTGACGGACCGACACTCCAGCCAGTGTTACAGCCTGCTTGGATAGTGGGTTTGGATCAAAGTTGAAGGGAGGATTTTATGTTGACCTTGAAGCCAAGCTTTTGTTTCTGGAGTTGTTTGTTTGAGAAGAACATGCTTTTTTTTTTTTTTTTGGCCAGAGATTGAGAACCAGCTCGCGCGTGGGTTTGTGACGAACCTAGGCGTAAGCTGGGTTCGTTGCCAACCCAGTCTCGCGAGCTGGGTTCATCCTCGGTTTGCGAAGAAGATGAGGATAGAAATGGGAAATGAAAAGATAAAGGGAAACAATTATTTTTTTCTTTTTTATTAGTTTAAGACCTATTGATTACATGGAAAATAAATATGATTGCCAACTCATCAATTTTGCAACGTGTAATCCTATGCCACCATTAAAAAGAAAAAAAAAAGATATTTAACGAATAATTGTGCCATGCTGTCACTTAACTGACAGAAGGACTAAAAAGGGGCCGGATTTTAAACAGTAAGGATCAAAAAGGGGATTTTTTCGGTATAAGGATTAAAAAATGGCTTTTTCTTATAGTAGAGGGACCAAAAAGGGTATTTAACCTATCTACAATAGTAGAAAATATAGAGAAATTAATAAAAACCTTCATTGA